GCGTGGAGGAGCCCGTCATGATGATGCTGCGGCGGAGGGGGACAGAGACACCCGCCGCGTCACCGCCCGCCCGGGTGGCAGGAGACCCCCTGCCCTTGCTGTTTGAGGAAGGGGCAGGAGGAGCATGTGGGGTCCGCGTCCGTCTGTCCCCACCGCCGACCCTCACCGTGTCCTGAGGGTCCCCATCGGGCTGGAGGCGAGGGGTCCTGTCCCCACCACCGACCCTCCCTGCATCCCGGGGGTCCCCAGTTGGGCTGGGGGCGAGGGGTGCTGTCCCCACTACCGACCCTCCCTGCGTCCTGGGGGTTCCCATCGGGCTGGGGGTGAGGGGTGCTGACGGGTGTCCTACCTAAGGTTCCTGTCCCCATCCATCCCCACTACTGACCCTCCCCGCATCCCGGGGGTCCCCATCAGTCTGGGGGCGAAGGATGCTGTCCCCACCACCGACCCTCCCTGCATCCCGGGGTCCCTGGTTGGGCAGGGGGCAAGGGGTGCTGACCCCATTGCTGACCCTCCCCATGTCCTGGGGGTCCACATCAGGCTGGGGGCAAGGGGTGCTGTCCCCACTGTCGACCCTCCCTGCATCCCAGGGGTCCCTGGTTGGGCTGGGGGCAAGGGATTCTGGCAGGTCTCCTACCTGAGGTTCATGTCCCCGTCCATCCCCCCCACTGACCCTCCCCGCGTCCCGGGGGTCCCCATCGAGCTGGGGACAAGGGGTGCTGGCGGGGGTCCTACCTAAGGTTCCTGTCCCCATCCATCCCCACTGCCAACCCTCCCTGCATCCCAGGGGTCCCTAGTTGGGTAGAGGGTGAGGGGTCCTGTCCCCACTACCGACCCTCCCTTCATCCTGGGGGTCCCCGCCGGGCCGGGTGCTGGGGGTGCTGGCGGTCTCCTACCTGAGGTTTCTGTCCCCATCCATCCCCACCGATGACCCTCCCTGCATCCCAGGGGTCCCCAGTTGGGCTGAGAGTGAGGGATGCTGTTCCCACCACTGACCCTCCCTGCGTCCCGGGGGTCCCCATCAGGCTGGGGACAAGGGGTCCTGTCCCCGCCGCCGACCCTCCCCGCGTCCTCGGGGTCCCCATCGGGCTGTGGGCAAGGGGTGCTGGTGGGTGTCCTACCTGAGGTTCCTATCCCCATCTGTCCCTACCGCCGACCCTCCCCACATCCTGGGGGTCTCCGGTTGGGCTGGGGGCCAGGGGTGCTGTCCCCACCGCCGACCCTCCCTGTGTTCTGGGGGTCCCTGGTTGGGCTGGGGACAAGGGATGCTGGCAGGTCTCCTACCTGAGGTTCCTGTCCCCATCCGTCCCCACTGCCGACCCTCCCTGCATCCCGGGGGTCCCCATCAGTCTGGGGGCGAGGGGTGCTGTCCCCACCACCGACCCTCCCTGCGTCCTGGGGGTCCCTGGTTGGACTGGGGTCGAGGGGTGCTGTCCCCGCCGCCGCCCCTCCCTGCTGCTGTCCCCCCCGCCGACCCTCCCTGTGTTCTGGGGGTCCCTGGTTGGGCTGGGGACAAGGGATGCTGGCAGGTCTCCTACCTGAGGTTCCTGTCCCCATCCGTCCCCACTGCCGCCCCTCCCTGCATCCCGGGGGTCCCCATCAGTCTGGGGGCGAGGGGTGCTGTCCCCACCACCGACCCTCCCTGCGTCCTGGGGGTCCCTGGTTGGACTGGGGTCGAGGGGTGCTGTCCCCGCCGCCGCCCCTCCCTGCATCCCGCGGGTC